GCAAATAGGACAATGGTTACCAGTGCACCATTGTATGGTATGTAGATGACCTGAAGATATCCCAAAAGGATCCAAAGATTGTTATAAGAATTATCAAGAATTTGAAGGATAAGTTTGGAGTGGGATTACTAGTAGTAGTACTACTACCCTACTAATAACCAAAACAAGTGGAAAGATACATACTGGCTACTACTACTACTATGTTGGGATGGCACTTAACTACATGGATAACACTTAACCAGTACACTATTCCTGGTGAAGCTCAGCAGGTTTGATTACTTGGAGGATGTTCTCCAGGGGTTGCCAGACAGCCAAAAGGGGCACACAACAATGCCTGTGTCTGATCACCTGTTTAAAGTGAATGAGGAGGCGCAGCAGCTGAACAACGAGGCCACCAAATCAACACTCTTCCCTTGACTCGTTCTCTGAAAAGAAAATTTTCTGCTTCTCCTTGAAGCAAAATGAGAATGGATGATTCCCATTATTATAGAAATGCTAAATTTGATAGATAGACAGACCAAAAAACTATGACATGTTGTCATAGATTTAGCATTTTTAGAACAGGTCAATTGAACCCATTCTAAATGTGCTAGATCTATGATGGAACCCAAGAATCAAAATTTCAAGTCCATTGTAAGATTCATCAGAAAGCGCGCCAGAATCTTAACACTACTTGACAAAATTAAGACCCAGATATCATAAACAAGAACAAAGAGAGGCACCCCTATTAAGAATGGTGCCTAGGCGCCTCTAACAACTATGGTGCCACATAAACTATGTCCCAATCCGTGCTCTTAGTCAGTACACTCTATTTCCTTTCTTTGTAGCAGCAAAGAGAGCAACAATATGAGGAGGAGGAGGCTGGCAAACTCAAAGAGGGAGCTCATTGTTGCCAAACCCACCTCAAACAACAAGGAGAGGAGGCTCATTGTCCCATTCCCCACATTATATTTGTTAAGATGGATCCAACTGGCAATACTGGCCGCAGATCCAGTACTATTAACTACTCTCAAGAGGAGCTGGCCAGACTCGTGAGCTTGATATTGGACATGCTCCCTATAGATACTGAGGACTGGGATGCTCTTGTGGTAAAAGATGCAGAGAGATGGCCTATAGGTAGGACCAAGTCATCCATCAAGACTAAGTATACAGCTAAAAGGATTAAGAGCTCAACTGGAAATCCAAACACACCAGAGTACATGAAGATGGCACAAAGGGCTCATATCTTGATTGGTGAGAAGGCAAATCTTGGGACTGGTGCGGAAGACTTTGTTGATATGAAGAAAGGCTTCATTAAGAGTGAGTCAGTGGAGGGTTTAGAACCTCCAGCGCTGTCTTCAGGGGCAACTGCAGCAGCAACTGCAGGGGCATTGACAAGTGGTGGTGCAGATGCTACCAGGGCTCTGGCTTCAATTATTCTTGCCGGAGACACATTTACTGTTGATGGTGGAGAACAACAACAGGAGCAGGAGGAGTTCACTGCTGTAGTTTCCTCCAGCAATTTGACCCCTTCTCTTGTTCAATCAATTCCAAAGAAGACATCATATCAGCAACAGAGGAAATCCAGTGTCCCTGACACAGTTCCATTCAATGAATACATGAAGAGCCAGGAAAAAAGAGAGGAAAGAAGAGACAAAGAGAACCATGAGATGTACAAAGAGAACAGCAAGATGTGGAAGGAAGTTATCAGAACTGCTGTTACCATGTTCAATAAGTAGCAACAACAAAGCAGAAAAAGAATCCCATGGTGAAATGCACCAGGGAAAAGATGTTTAAATCATTAACCTAAACTAAACTTTACTAAACTAACTAAACAATACTGTACCTGCTGTAATTCCAAAAAAATGAGCTTGAGATTGAAGCGCAGTCCATTGTGTTATTGTGGTATTGCATACTGTTGTAGTAGGGACTGTACAGCTCCTTGTTCCAGTCTTCTTGTAAAGGTTTTTGTGTATACCAATGCGGGATTACAACTTTTTTACCTCTATTGGCAAGTGCAAAGTCCCACAAAAACGGTTTGGATCAGCATGCACATGTTGTGTATCATAAACTTGTCTTCATTACAGTATAATGCTCAACTTATATTCATTACAGTATAAATTGTTATGTACACAATCATTTGTGTGTATTAACAAACACAGCAGCCAAGTCACAAGTGTATACATGAAAACCCTAACAAAACCGCTTTCAGCTTAGCTAGCACCCCCCTCCCCCGGAACAGTTCATTATATAAGGAAAGTAACCATTGCTTCTTCTCCACCATGGTATTGAATTGATTGAATTGAATCCGTATTGTAACTTTGCCAATGTTGCCGTACCCATTTTAACTTTGCCAATGTTGTCGCAATACCTGCTGCAACTAAACTTCCTTCTATCAAAACAACCACAGCAACCAATTGACCATGGGATTCACCCTCCAAACACTCCATTTCCATCTGGGGAAAGCCCACATTCTACATGGAAGTAGCCTCCTGCAAGGTCATTCTGTAACTCTTCATGTGGGACCTCTGGATCTGTGGCTGGTGGTGTCTTCATGAATGTTGATAGGATCTGATTGTGTCTGATGGTACTGCACTGGAAGTTGTACAAGTTGATGAGAAAGCTCATGGTGATTCTTTTCCCCCCATGCTCCTCCAAGCACATCCAGTCTTTGATTCTTGGACACTGTCCTTGGATAATCCGCATCCTCCATTCAGACATCTGTCTCAATGACATTGCATCCCTGTTCAGGAGTATCAAGTCTGGTTGTTCTGGGTCCCTCTGTGAGCTCTTGATGAGGCTATCCTTGTAATCTTTCAGAGCAAATGCTGAATTCACCACAATCTTTCCACCATTACACTCTTTGTGGATGTACACAATTCTTTGGTACACACTGTGCTCAGCAATAGCGCTGTCATGCCAAGSGCCCAGGCAGTTGCACACTGCTATCCTAATCCTTCCATCTTGGGCAAATGCAAAGACACTATTGAAGTAGGTGTTCTCCTTCCTTGTGTTGTAGAATGGTCTTTGTTTGTACCAGTCACCAGAGGCTTCAATCACTTGCTTGAGTCTCCATCCGCAGCACCCCAAACGCATTGTTCTCCAGGGGGGCCTTGGATACTTGTCTCCAATAGCCTTAACATAAGCATTGACTTCTTGCTTAGTAGGGACACTGACTATGGCGTCTGGGTGTTTGTGAAGAGCAACAAGCATCACTCTCCTTGAACACTTGAGCCACTTGTACATCACTGTGGATGTCAAGTCAAATGCCATTGCCATTGACCTTGCAACAGATCCTCTTGTCCTGAACCAATAAAGGACCACCAATCCAATGGCAAAGACTGCATCAACCTCTCTCTTCTTCCCCTTGGGCTTGCCACTGGGATTACACAGAGCTTCCATGACTTAATTGTTGTTGTTGATGGTAAACTTGTTGTATACTGGAGCAAACAGGTCAACAAGAAGCTCTCTGTAGACTTTGTGTTCTACACCACCACAGCAGTTGAGGAGTGCTTGATCATTTCCTGAGTGGAACATATGGAGGAAGGGGGAATCAGCGTATCTCTGAATTGCAAGCTGTGGAGTTCTTCTGTCCCTTCTTCTCCTCTCTTCTGGAGATAGTTTGCTTTTACAACTTTGCTCGGATGTAGTACCACGAGTGCATCGTGATGACCTCCACTACTCCCATTGTCGATGTTGCCTTTTTTCTTGCTGGGAGGAAAGTCCAGTCTTTTAGTTTGGCTAGAAATAATTTGTTGACTTGTTGTTAATGTAAGGAATGCACATTTTTTTTGATATGGAAATATATTGAGAATATCGAAAATATGTGTATCCCTTCCACTGCAAGAGTATGGATTCTTTTTCTTTGTACCAACTTGCACGCATTTTAAGTCTTTTTAGTCTTTATGTTGGAGTATAGTTAAGATTCCAAATTCCCAAAAAGACTGGCATCGAGACAGCATTCCTCTCAGTCTGTTTGTTGAAATTTTGATTCCTGTTAATAGAAGTGCTAAACTCACAGATTTAGCACATTTAGCATTCTAGAAGTATTAATAACGGGAATCACCCAATGATTATATTTTACTAATGCTGACGCTTACTACGAGCTCTATCGTACAGGACGCAGTGGCAATCATTGCGGAAGAACGTTTCACGCACTACAATATTGATAAAACATGCACAAGATATTAACCTGATCATGTATCTGCAACGATTGAACATAGGCGACGAAGCAACAAAGCAACAAAGTTGCATTTTCATGAACAAAGAAGATGGTTCAAATGCAAGAGATCGAGAAACTAAAGCTAATACCGGTATTTCATCGAGAAATCATCGTGTGACGAGTTCCGGGTCAGAAGTTCGTGCCAACAGATTCCTTCGGGTCCATCTTCAAGTATTGAAAGCATTGTATCAACAAGACACTTCGTCAGATTCATCATTTGAAGATCACCTTGTGGAGGAGAAACATTGGGAGTTCATAAAATGCTTCCTAAAAGAACGAGACGAATGTGCTGCACTCGTTCAACGAGCGCAACGAATGAGCGGTATTTACAACGAGGCGATGGAATTTCAAAAAAACGCCGACCAGTTCCCTCTTATCGACGACGAAATCACTGCGCACCGCTTCGGATCTCCCCAGTTCAACCGTTTCAGTAATCAGAAACGTAATATGAAGGGAACACGATCTAGTCTGCCACGGTCTTCAGCTCTAGTGTTGATTACCCAGCCATCGCCGCGTTATCAATCTAACCGACCATACCATACTTGGACTCGCACAGGTAACAGATCTGGAAGTAAATCGAAACAATTGGATCACGACGTTGATAAAGATACAGGCAACGCGTTCGGGATTGTCTCGGGGTTGTTAAAACGGAAACACCACCTAGCTTCTAAGCACTTAAGTCAACGAACCAAAAAACTACGAGCATTAAAAAAAGAATCCCAAAGTCGAATTGAGTTCTTGAACTCTCGATTAGTCGCTATCAAAGCGAGGGAAAAATCTTTGCTGTCAGATTTTGGTGCAAGTAGGGAGGACTTTCTTRAAGGTAAGGAAGAGTGCGAAGATTGCCAGGTAAGAATTGAGACCAAACTTCGCTTGTGGAAACTCTTGCTACATGATTTTATTGGAACCATTTTGATTAAGTAAAAATACTTTGTATATATAGCGGAAGCGCAGACGTAGTAACTGTACATAAAGTCATAATTCAACCACAGTGCACTCGGGACTTTTCCTTGTAGATTGATGACACCTTCGTCTGGTACAAGTCATTCAAAGATAGACGAACCAAATCGGTCTTGACGCTAGTCAAGTTTTCTATGTATGAATTTCCCATGTGAAAACTTACATTTGGAATCTTGGAGTCCTCTCCATTACGAATAGATCGCCTTGAACTCATTTGGAAGACTTTGCTACTCGTACTACTCTCACTGTTATTCCTGCAACTTTCGCTTTCAATTGATGATTCGTCTGGGTCGGATGCTGTTGCTTGCTGGTGTCCATCGATGGTCATCGGGACTGCTAAAAATGATAACTCCCACTTCTGATTTGAAAGTCCTAATTTGATTCCGGTATGATGGAAATTCTCCTTGTCTTCAAATTTGTCATCCATGAGCTTGAAAGCAATGTAAGAAATAGGCGACAGGAAAGACCATATTCTCTTCCCAGTAGCCGATGGCATCATCGTAACAGGATCGCGATCATTAGCAATTCGGAGATGTCTTAAGAGCCCCCGCTCTTCCAACCGAAGAAAGGCTGCTTGGAAGGTGCGGTCACCAACTCGCGGAGACGCCACACTGATACAAGAAACGGGTGATGGAATGATGCATTCAGAGAAGTTGGCAGCTGCAGCTGCATGAAGCGAGAACAAAGTTGCCAATGCACCACCGAGACTATGACCTGTCACATATAATTTGTARCTCTTGTGACATTCGGATTCATGAAATAGTTGTTTCACGCGGGTCATAATTTCGTCGTATTTGCTCGTGCCATTTGCTCGTGGTCTGAGCAAGTAGTCATAGAATCCATCGTGTATTCCTATCTCCTTTTCTTGATCCGAATCTATGTGATGTACCKGGTTGGGCTGCTGATTGAGTGATATCTTTGCATCCTTCTGAAAATCTGTAACTGTGACGCTGCCTCGAAATGCAACTGTAATTCTCTTCCGAAGTTGATCAACACCAACGGCATACACCAAGTCTACATCGGACTTTTCGTCACCAAAATATGTGAGCTTGGGTTGAATTTCCTCCACTTCGACACTTACTTCGGGCCCAGTCAGGGAGGAAATGAAGGAGGTTTTTAGCCAAGAACGACCTCCATTAGAAGACGATGTCACCAATGCGCGTTGTGCTTCAAACCTCGAATGGATCAGATTGAGGGAATTCCAAGTCATCTTGTGATCACCTTCCCCCAAAAATTCCTTCATAACATCATGGTTCTCTTCTAGAATCTGCAAACAGGTAGACAAAGTCAATGGTAAATCAAGTATCTTTTCGGGTGACTTGAGTTTGTCTTTTTTTGCTGGATCTTTGGCTAGATTGCGAAGGTCAGTCAAACTGACATTCGAATCGAAAGAATCATCGACAGTGTGAATTGAATTGAATAGAAATTGAAAATGTAAGCTGAAAAAGTGAATCTTCCGTGCTTCGAACTACTATTCAGTGCAAATCCAATTTCAGTTCTGTGGCTCGTGCCTGATTTCCGATTGTCGACAACCGATCTAAGATAATTCGTACCATACTCTTACCTGTAAATCAACATGCTAACCTGCAACATCTCGTCGGCTTCGTTGTATAGATTGGAATATTCGTAAGAATCATCGCCATTCTTGCCTTTGAAGGTGAACGACTGTGACTGCTGGGAGGATTCATCGTCGTCGTCTTTGAATCGATCAAATACGGCTTTGCCAATATTCATCAACATTTCAACCGCAGTATATATGAGGGTTAAAAAACTTAGCCTATTACAACGCACCAATACAAAAGCACTCTAAAATACGGGAAGAGTCAATCGTTGAGAACAGTAGATGATGTGATAGACACAGAACACCGCTCCACGGGCCACGGGACGGTCGGTGCAAGCAAATCGGAGTGTTGTATGTACCGGTAGGAGAAGAAAAGTAAGCTCGTCAGCAGCAGAATAGAGTTCGGGTGCATGTTTGGGTACCTGCATGGTAAGGGCACCTTCGTACCCGGGATTGACTTGAGGCGAACTTTTTGTATTTGTACGAGTACCATACTACGGWACAGTACTGCTGGTACTGTATCAAAACTCGTTTCAGATATGATCGTGCAAAATGAGTTTTGATCAAACTTTCGATGAATTTTGCTTCAAACCGTACGGGGTCCTGTGCAGTATTTTTTAGTAATAGTACGCACATTACAGTGAACCAATGACCACTGTTTTCGGAGTCAAAACCGATGCACGATTCAGAAAATTGTCCGGTATTCGATGCGTTACAACAACATACAGTATCCACGTGAAGAAAAAGTCTGTCATTTTTTATTTTTGAGTTTATCTGTTAATCTGTTAAATCTGTTAACCATGTGCGTTCTGCAATCTACTGTGGTATTGGATAGTACTTCCGGTACCGTTACATTCGTTTTTCTTTGTTTTCACAATAGATTCTACTAACGATGCCAACCTTTGTCTTGACCCATAAACGATCGCAAAGAAAAACTGCAACATTTTCGGACGAGGAAGGACCATCCACCGAGAACTGCCGAAATGCATCGATCCAATTATGGGATTCCGAGGGAGGTTTCTATCATTATTGGTTCTGACGAAGAACAAATCAGTTCTTCCGAGAGCTCGGTTGGAGACGATGGCACGGGAGGTCGTAGTCGTGGATTTTATCTCTTTGATGTTGTGGAATCGACGTACAATGATCTTGAAAATTCCAACCGAGGTCCTCCGCAATCGTTGGAAGACAGAAACGACCAGAAATTGGACAGGAAGCAAATCAAAGATCACACCGACGATCCCGCCATTGATACTACCTTTTCTCCCGGCGATCGTTCGACATCGCTGGCGAGAGACAAATTTCCAGAAATAGGATACGAAAATGCCAATGACGATGAACGAAGGAAACTTTTAGTAGCGGAGAATGAGTATACACCCGTCGATACTGACAAGATCAGGCGCCAGAAGAATCACTGTTTCGACGTCGCATGCGTTTCTTGGGAAGTCCTTGCAACGTTGCCCCGCGAGGATACAACGCACTCAACCAAAAAACGGAGGAAAAAACAATTTATGAGCAATCTGCGAACAAGAGTTGAAAGAATGCAATGTCAGATGAAAAAACCATTTCGCACGGTATCTAAAATGATGCTTTGTTCTGCTGGAAGATTTCAGCACATAGTTTGCCAAGTGCCAGATCGACGTCTGCAATACGATATGAACCAACAGTACCTCCTTCAAAAAGGAAATAAGAGTCGTATACTGTTAAGTGACGACTACGACGATGACGAGAAAGATTGTCCGATACCACATGTCGTATCGCTTGGCAGCTCCGACACTGAGAGCAAGGGTGAATTTAGCAGTTGTGGACAATTCCAAGAAATCTTGACAAACGAAGATTCAGAGCGGCTCGGAAAGAAAAGCGTCTTATCTCATGGCAATGACGAGAAGCACAAATCCGACGAACTTCGATGGCTTTATGCTAGGCAACTCTTACCTGTTAACGACTAATATTCATTGATCCTGATGATGGCACTTGCTTCCAAGTCACCTCCCAATTCAACACGGACGAATGAACGAATCAATGTACTTGCATTAGAATGAAAATAACACTCAGAGGTTTCAATGGCCTGAAATAAATTTTATACCAAATGCCATCGATATGTGGCCGAGTTGATGCCGAACGCACTAACTAGGGTGGACGAGTGGCCTAAGGCTTTTTGAAAGCCAATGCAAGCATATACGACTTATGCGAAAGTGAAAACATTTCTTACAKAATTACACGATAGTTCATCAGTTTCGAATCCGAGTTTCAACGCAATGATTGGTCGACAAACAGAAATAATCAGTCTGTTGTTGTAGTATATTTCGAAAAAATATCATAATTAGTTGTAATTGTTCGAACTTCTTTCCCGTGCATCTACTTATATGAAAAGCTCAAGGGTAGTTCGAGCATAAGTGTTCTCTCCTTCATCTTCGACCATAGGGAATCCCGCAACAAGTGCATCGGCGTTGTAAATATACAATGTGTTGAACACTCGCCAGTAAACCTCCCTCACTTTTCGGGCAGGATGATACAATCCCTGAAGCGTATACTGCAAAATGATGTTAGGACCGAGGGCTACCATAAGACCTTGGATGGCGTCGAAGACAGCTTGGATCACATGAGGACTTTCCTCAAAAATGTTAGGCCACACAAAGTTTAATAGATGAAGAAGAGCATCTTCGCAACCATGGCCTGCTACTCCCAAAGCTAGGTGCTTCACTGCTGCACAACCGGTCTGACGGTGAACTGGATCACGGTCCATAAGAGCATCCTCTAGGAGAGGTGTGACAGCATAGACGTAGTCTTTCCCCATTAACCCGATGTATTCGAACACGAAGCTAATTGCCTTTAGAACACCGTTTTGAATATTTAATTCAGGAACGCGATATTCATTCATGAGAGCTGGTAGGACCGTAAAAGGTCCGCATGTCTCAGCCACGATTGCTATTGCGACGGTTGTACAAACACGCATTTGTCGGTCTTGGACTTTCAAGTTATTCAAAAGGGTGTGCAAAACATCTTGCGGGCCAATTGCTCGAGCAATAAACCCAAAAGTACTAACTGCAGCACGGCGAATCGCTTTCTTGTGCGCCTTCAGCATTTCTAGCAACTCAAAGCATATTCTCATCCATTCCTTCGCTGAAACAAATTCTGCCCCACGATCAGCGACACGTCCAACTAAGTCGATGCAGTTTTCTTGCACTTTTTCGTGTCTATTTCTCAAAATAGGAGTCAATCTTGGCAAAAGATCACGAATAGGTGGTGTCATTTTTGTCATGCCGATCACGTTCACAATCGCACGGAGAGCTCCCAGAATAGACCCCAGAACCTCAGGATATTCTTCGCCAAGGTATTCGTACAGAACAACGCCCAAGTGACCCATCAACTGATCTTCATCACAGGCCTTCATTACGACAGCAACTCGAGCCACGAGGTCGGCAGCCTGCATTCTAACTGAGGCGGCTTTGTTATTCAGACGCCACTTAATTGTACCAGCGATCTGTTTCAAGTAAGGTTTACATCGTTCTCCTAACGCCACAACAACAGCACCGAAGCCATCAAGCATAATCTGACTCTCTTTCCCAAGGGTATTTGAAGCATCTACTGCTTGTTCTTGAAAAGCGTACAAGATACCATCAATCAGTCTTTCCTCTAATCTATCATCAATATCGCCCGCACCAAGATTTTCCAAAACTTTTCGAATCGTTTCCATCACCATGCGTCGATAAGGTTCAGAATCGTCCTTTAGATCATCAACGACTCGGGTAATGATGTCTGAAGACCCAACTTTGTTGGCAAGTTCTTCGGTAGTTTCAATAACTTGTCTATAATTTCTTCGATCGAGTGCCATCCTTCGGATCCAAAAGTTCTTGAAGAATTCAGGTAGAATCTCTTTTCGAATGTAATCGGGTTCAACACCAGCCGTCGCAACACATTGCTGGATAACTTTTAAGACGATGCGTTTCATCTCTTCGTCTGGAGAGTGGAATTCGCGTAACAATATGGGCATAACCAATCGAGTGTAATGGCTAGCATAGTTTTCTTCCATAAGTGGAATAACAAATCCAATCGCTTTCAAGAATGCAGCTAGTGCCTTCCCATGGTGTTCCAAAGCTCCTTTCCACAGTGGGCGAATGACAGAGTCAAAACTTTCGATACCGTAGGGATGCGCGGCTTCAGCGAGAGCAGCGCAAGTCAGCGCAGTGATAATTCGCACTTTTTGCATATCATCTGTCAAGCCATGGCTGACAATTTCCACGAGTTCCCTCAGATAGGGCAATATAGCAACACCCATTAACAGAGCAATTTGCTGAACAATTTTTATCCCAGTATGACGTGCCTGCCATGACTTTCTAGATTGACAAACTGCCTTGAGAAAGGGAATGAGGTTTGGGACTCCAAGAGCACTGGCAACCACTGCAACCGCACGAGAGGTGGTGTTGCGAACATACTCATCCGGACTATCAATATCTGGTCGCATAGTTGAAATCATAGTTGCTAGACCAGCAGCCTTTGCCAAATTGCTGATAATCTCTCGACCCTCAACACGAGCATAGTAGTCTTCGTCGATGAGCAAAGGTTCAATGACTGCTAGGATTCTGTGAACATATGGACGCACTAGATCGTCAAGTTTGTAGAGCACACGATCAATTACCTTCACTAATAAATGACGCTCTTGGTCTTCCAACGTAGGGCTCATCAGAAGGGGTAAGATCTGATTGAAAAGTGGTCCCGCGCCAAAGCTTCGAGCCCTGTCCGTGATTTGTCTCATGGCTGTCTTCCGTTGTGGCGGTGTACCGTTCTTGATTTTCAATAACAACGACATAATGCGCCGTTCGTTAGCTTCTTCTTTTGATAATTTGTCGTCGTCAGTATCTTCCATCAGTCTACCGAAATATTGCATATCTTCTGGTTTAATGTACGGCAAAGCGCTGGCCTCACCAGTCTCGGATGATGTGATGGCTAGAGGGACACCATACGCTTCACGAATATCTTGGACAGAAGCGTCCTGTCTTTGTTCGACAGGTATGTCCATCTGAAATCCCTGCTGAGTCATTGCCATAGGCGTAGGAGTTGCTAGCAATTTGCGTCCCGGAGTACGCAGTGGTACGTAACTAGAAGGAGGTCGCATAACTATGTAGCCTTCCGACGGGAGAATAGCATCAAGGGCAGCATCCGTCCAAGGTCGATTGCGAGATTCCATTTCGCGTTCTAGAGATAATGCCTTGTTGAGATTTCCTGTAATCACACCGTGTGCGGGCGTTTGGGGAGTCCCTGGAAGTAACGGTGCCGGTGTTTCTGCCCATCGATTTCTGGACGTTTGATTCAGTGCGGCTGCTGGGGTCCCGCTGACACTCATCCCAGAAAATGATACGGGAGTGGCATCCCATTTGCTCGAGATAGTTGCTGCAGGTGTCGCCATGCCAGATGCCACAACAGGCGTAGCAGCAACATTTGATGAGACGACAGGAGTTTCGTCCCAACGCTTTCGTCTCCTCGAAGAACCAGTGGTTCCGCCAACATCCTCGTCCCATTTTGACTTCACTGTCGAAGTGACAGACTCGGTATCAGAAATCATAGCAGAATCAACCTTTTCGGAAGTAGTCTGAGGCGCAGAATTCGTATCCCATCGTCGCTTTCGTCGCTTACCAGTCGAAGTCTTTCCCTGTTCTTCCGATTGTTGGTTGTTATTCGACTTTCCCAATCCTTCTGTAGTCCCCCCACCCTCTTTCATATCCTTTTCTAGTTCCCGTGTCAATTGGTCCCGCTCTTTTTCTAAATTCGCCTGCATCATCGATTCCTTGAACGACAGACCGTCTTCTCTCAACACACGATTGTTTCGTCGCTTCTGATAGTCACTCTCTCTGTCATTGATACGTGTATTCACTAAACCAGAGCCTCCTTCTGCATCCTTAAAGGGATTGTCTTCGGCCTATTTTTTTACGATTGAGAAGCACAGGACACAAATCGATATGACTAGAAATTAGAAGAAAGAGAATATAAATTGTATTTATCACAACTTGTCACCCACTTGCCTCGAAAAAGGCATCTACGGAACAACCAATAATAAAATAAAAGCAGCACTCACCTCACGCGATGCAGACGATGCCTTATTAGTTGCTGCCAAGGTACTTGGGTGATTGCTAACACGCCCTTCGTCTAATTCTTCGATTCTCTCCTTTGCTCTCACGTTTTCACCAGCAAGAAGTTGACGCTCCTCTTCGTCTGTCGGCAGTGCCGTGACGTATTCTGAATCACTCCCGTAACCGTCTGCCCCAAACTTCAGACCGCCGCAATTGTCGGCCGTCTTGTCCTTATCAACCCCGGCATCGCTGGATGATGTCATGGTAAAGTTTTTGATTTTACTACTATTGTTAGAAATAGGTACTGTCGTACCTGATTTTGATTTGGGTGTTGGACGCAAGGACTTCGTTTATCCAAATTATCCAACAGATGTAAAAGTACCGCATGGTGGTAAGCCATGATGTTGTTTCGGTGTGCGGAGTTCGACGAACGGAGGTAAGTTGGGATTCGAGGTTACGATATGGCTTTCAAAGGGGGGAATCCAAAATAGGGGTTGAAAAGGGGTTGTTTGTTTTCAAGGTTTCTAAGGATACCGGTACCATTCTGGTCGCAGTCGTATCGGACGGTTAACCAAAACAGGTGCCAAAGGGCATATGTAAAAGTGGAAAAACAGGTGTCAAGATGTCGCATGGCGTCAATAACTTTACAATCAATACCTTCTACGAAGCTGAAGAACATTCATAACAAATGAATAGGAAGTAGGAAGTACTGGTACCTGTACGATTGATGAACGAATAAAATCTCGAAGTGCCATACGGTAAAATGAGGTCGCTATCAATTGCAAACGAGAAAAGAGAACTGACTGGGACACTACGAGTATCCGTCTTTCCTAGTTTTCGCTCTTTTGCTCTCTTTTGATTCATAGATTGCTTCCTTCCTGAATTCCTTGCCATTTCTCACAAGATCAAGATCCACAAACTCAAACCAGTCACTCAACGGTTCTTCACACATCTACATTTGGAACTAGTGTATTCAATTTTGTGTATTGAACAGTTCATTATTTTCACTAAGAAAAAATAAGCAACATGCTGCGATTTATTTCGGCAATTATCCTCCTTTCGACGACTTCAGGGTTCCACTTCTCGAACAGGAAAGTGCGGTCTCTCGGAACTTCCCTTCAATCAGACTCGTCATCGTCGTCGGAACGTTACGAAACCTATACCGATGGCACTGTCAATCCCTGTTGGCAGGACATCTACGACGCGGATTGCACCATGGATAGCATCTTCACTGCGAGATTCGTTGCCAGCGAGTGGATCAAAGAACTTCCCTGTGGATCTGGTTTGGAGGTTAGTCAGTCATTAGCTTTTACGGTCAACAGTGTTTATATCGCGTGGACTCTGTCAAGTCGGATGGTCTCTTTCTGATAGACGATTCAATTTATCTCGAAGTGTCGATTTGCATACGTATGCAGCGCCACATAGTTTTTCTTGTTTGCTTACTGTTCCTCAATTTCTCTTCTTAGGATTGCGACTTTCCAGAGGGTACCGTCGTACCAGAAATGCGACCCGAATCGCACAATCACCCTGAAGTAGATGTTATGGATTTCTTGAATATCAAGCGAGTAGACGATGATTCGAAACTTTCGCCATAGCAACATCTATCACCGGCAGCTACAATGCCGTCGACACGGTATGTTATCAGTATTATTCGCTGACGACATCACCTTTTCGAATATAGAGCAAAGGTTCTGGTGTTCAACCGCCATTATATACGAAAACACGCACACGCAAACTATCCATCACAAATCACAAAATATTGGAACTATCCTCATTCATGCAAGCACACACAACAATCTTTCTTCAACTACGGTTGGGAAACATTGCTGGAGACTTATCTTTGAAAACAGCTCCCTAAATCTCTTATACATCCGTTCGGAATCCTCCTCCTGCTGCTACGTTGAGAGGAACTCAAACGGCATCAAGTAAATCTTGTAATACGAGTAAAAACAATAAGCATTGTAATACTACTAGTAAAAACCCTTTTGAATGCCAATTCACAGGAGTAAAATATTACAGAATTTTCTTCAAACATGAAGTATTTTTCTTGAGCAATGAATGATGTTCTTCTCTTGGGTTGCTTGAACCTATTTTGTGACAAATGGTGAAAACTCCTGCTAGAAGTACTACTATTGCTACTATTGTCAATATTTAAGTAGTACTAGTAGTAGTACTACTACGAGTAGTAGCACCAATAATACTAATGGTAAAATCTGCATCATGATTAATTCTTCCTGCCAAGAAGAGAACCTTGTGGTTTGTTGATTTGTCTTCCCCCTTGACTCCTCCTATTTTCTTTTTCAATTACTCACACCACTAACATTATAGTACTGCTGTTACTACTACTAGTAGTACTAGTANGTCTTCCCCCTTGACTCCTCCTATTTTCTTTTTCAATTACTCACACCACTAACATTATAGTACTGCTGTTACTACTACTAGTAGTACTAGTACCACAACAATACTACTACTAGTAGTAATAGTAATAGTAGYGGTAGTAGATTTCATTTTCTACTAGGATTCATTTCAAGTTCATGACAAACCTTTTCACTACAGACCTACTACTAAAGAATAGAGGTGGGATGTCACTCACAATCTCAAGAGGAATTGGGACAAACAGGTGAATTACTCAAGACAGTGATTGAAGCCGTGGTAAAAAACAGACAGAGAGGGTAAGCTACTATCCCCAAATGCAAAAATTCATTTGAGAAGCTGATTGAACTTGAGCAAGAGGAGGGCATCACAAGTGCTGCACCTCAGGCACCTGATGCTTGTAGTAGCGTCAGCCAGACCAACACTCAGGAGTCATAGTAATTTGACCAAACCAATAAATGATACTAGTACCTGAAAGCTTCCTCACTTTGAGGCAACCTGGAATAAGAAGCTAGTACTAGTACCTAGTAGTAGATGTTGTTGAGCTGGTGCTCTAGTACTACTACTAGTAGTAGTAGCAGCTTGTGTGCCCTCTAGCTGACTATCCACAGAATTGGAGACATATGGAGTGAAAAGTGGGAAATGTACCCTCTTCTTGTCATGGGATAAAGAATTCTTGGAGAGAGAGAGGAGGAGGGGGGGGATTGTTTGGTGGT